TTGTATAAAAGAATTATATTATCAGTGTATATAAGTTAAAATTCTTTAACTTGTACCTACATGAGTAAATTGTGGCTTAAATGGAGCGACATGAACATTGAGGATTCATATTGCGGATCTCAACTTGCTCTGGATTGAAGTACTGATATTGTAAAAAGACAATTAGGTTGTTAGTGTATTACGTTTATATTCTTTAATTTGTATCGACATAAGTAAACTTTGGCTCAAATGGAGAGACATGAACACTAAGGATTCGTATAATCGATCCCAACTTGCTTTGGATTGAAGTACTGATATTGTAAAATACAATTAGGTTATTAGTGTATAGAAGTTAAATTCTTTAATTTGTATCGGCATAAGTAAACTGTGGCTTAATGAAGCGAAATGGACAGTGAGGATTCATGTAGCTGATCCAACTTGCTTGGAATTGAGGCATAGTAGTAATAGCTGTTGTAGCTGTCTACATGAGAAAACTGCAGTTCTGCTCTTATTGGGAATTGGAATTAGTATTTAGTATATAAACATAGACAACACGAAGTTGCAGGTTCTGAATTTGTTTTGTTTGTCCTCAAGCAGAACATGTATGATAATAATGGAAAATCCAAGTTAGAGGGAGCATTGTCCATGGGAGTTCCCGGTGAGTTAGCTGGTCTTCACGCCGCTTGGTCAAAACATGGCAGGTTGCCGTGGAAGACCCTATTTCAACCAGCGATTAAACTTGCTAGAGATGGATTCGTGGTTGCTCCATATCTTGCACATCATATTGCGTCAAAAGCAAAGTTGATACTTAAAGATCCTGGTTTACGACAAGTAATTGCACCAGAGGGGAAATTGTTACGGGCAGGTGATATTTGCCATAATGTAAAACTTAGCCACAGCTTAGAGCTTATTGCTGAACAAGGGCCTGAAGCATTCTATAATGGAGAGGTTGGTGAAAAGCTTGTCGAAGATGTGAAAAAAGCGGGTGGAATTTTGACAATGGACGATTTGAGGAATTACAAAGTGGAAACTCCAGAAGCAGTTACCGTTAATGCTATGGGCTACACCATCGTTGGAATGCCACCTCCGTCCAGTGGAACACTGGGGATTTCTCTGGTATGTATATAAACCAACTTAGCTTGTACTGCTATTTTCCTTCTAATAACACAGACGTAGACGTATTGGTTCCAATCTTCCTCAATTATGTCTAAACTTAATACAACGCAATTGTCTGACTAAACCATTGCGATTGGGGAAATGCAGATTCTTAAAATCCTTGAAAGCTATAATGCTGCAGAAGGTTCTTTAGGTCTGCATCGACTAATTGAGGCGATGAAACACATGTTTGCATTTCGGATGGACCTCGGTGATCCCGACTTTGTAAATATCAGCAAAACTGTATCAGACATGCTTTCCCCATCTTTTGCCAAAGCAATTCGACAGAAGATTTTCGACAATACCACCTTTCCTCCTGAATACTATATGCCCAGGTTAGATAAATTCTACTTCCTCCGTCCCAATTATGTGGCGGTTTGTGAATTTCGAGAGTCAAATAAGTTAACTTTGACCATGAATTTGGACATAGAATCTTTTAGTCTTGAAATAAAATTTAAATCTTTGGAAACTACGCAAAAAGTACTATAAGTCACAATAATAATTAAATCAAAATATTTAAAAGGCTTATGAAAAAATCGCAGTCAAAGAAAAACTTTTTTGATTCTCGAAATCCAACACCGCCACGTAAATTGGGACAGAAGGAGTATTTCAGACTGAGCCCAGAACTAACAAGCCTATTGATTGCACACCAATGGCTCTAAAGCGGTTTTGGTCCTTGATTTGTAGGTGGAGTCAGCTAAGAGATCACGGAACAAGTCACTTTTGTATTGTAGATTCTGATCGAAATGCTGTATCAGTAACTACCACAGTAAACTATCCATTTGGAGCCGGTGTGCTCTCTCCATCAACTGGTATTGTACTCAACGACGAAATGGGAGATTTCTCAACACCTAGTGAGATATCCCCTGATGAACTCCCTCCTGCCCCGGCTAATTTTATTCAACCAAAAAAGAGACCGTTGTCGTCCATGGCTCCAATCATTGTTCTCAAGGTATCCAATCCAGGAAACGATCCTTTGAGCAATGCGTCATCTTTCTTAACTGCTTAGTATATGGACAATCCGAACTTCCTCAGTAGTTGTTGTTTAGTATATCTTTTATTGATTCTTTCTTCTTCTTGTTAACAGGATAATCAGTTGGCTGGTGTAATTGGTGGTAGTGGTGGCATGAAAATAATCCCCGCGGTGGTCCAGGTTTTCATCAACCATTTCATCTTGGGAATGGATCCTTTAGCAGCAGTGCAGAGTCCAAGAGTCTACCACGAGGTCGGTCCCTTTGCCTGATCAGCAATGTATATTACTCCTTCTGTTCCACTTTATGTGAATCTATTACTATTTAGGGAGTCAGACAAAGTTTTCTTATTTTGAATTGTTAACTATTAGTATGACTTATAGTACTTTTTATGTAGTAATTTTTGAAAATTCTATGTCTCAATCCACAAGGAAAATTGGTCAATTTGAACCTCGTGCTCCGAAAAGGCTCACATAAAGTGGAACAGAGGGAGTATTTTTAAGGATCACCTATCTCTAAAGTGGCTTATGCACGGAACTTGTTACCACTAAACGACGAAGCCAGGAGCGGAGGGACTTGAACCCTCAACCTCAGCCTTGGAAAGGCTATGCTCTACCATTAAGCTATTTCCGCCAGCTAGCGTAGTGGCGAAGCACTACTGAGCAATTCACGTATTTCTTGATACGGACGAATTCTGAAACCCCGAGTATTGATTCGTGTTCCTCTTTTTGCAGCTAATTCCGAATGTAGTTCTGTATGAGAACTGGACATGCATCGATGGCGATCACATTGAGCTATCGGATGAGAAAAAGCATTTCTTGGAAGAGAGGGGTCATCAACTCGAAGCACATAACGGAGGAGCCATCTGTCAGCTAATTGTTCAAAACCTTCCAAATTCTCATTTAAAGTTGGGAAGAAGGAGCGGGAAAGAATATAAAAACGGGGTTTTTCATGGGATGCTTGTGGCGGTAAGTGATCCTAGGAAAGATGGAAGACCTGCAGCCATATGATGGACTCATCCTACGCGATTTTATGAGTATGAATCAGTCTATTGTTTGTATATAAGGTTCAAAAAATGGCTAAAAGCCACAGTTTCTGGACATAATATAGAAAGGGATATTCAAGATTTGCCTGAATCGGGCAAGTACTGTCTTCTGTGTGAAACATGATCAAGAAACTATCCTCTCTAGTAAATTCATGTTGATATAAAAGTTTAGTCTTTAGTCATAAGTTGACATGAAACATACTGTTTCTCTCCTTTGCTAGGAAGTAAATATTGGGGCAAAGTGAATTAACTTATGATGTTTTGCTCATGAGTTGAATTGGAGTCAAAATGTTTGTCTTGCTTGTGTCAACAATAGAACCATTCATTACCATCCTATAGCATGTAGTGTGCTTTCTCAATACTACAACAACATACGCTTTGTGATCCCACAAGTGGAGTTTGAGGAGGGTTGAGTGTACACAGACCTTACCTCTACGTTATGTGAGGTAGAGAGGCTATTTCCGATAGACTCTCGGCTCAAGAGTGTGTTATCTCAAGATGAAACATGATATTGAGCTTGCACTAGTAAATCAGACAAAAAAATCACAAAGAAAGAATATGTAAAATATTTACAAATGACTGAAGGAAGTTATGACAATATATCAACTTGATATTGATCTTACCACATTACCAAAATGAGGATCCATAATTTAAACTAAAAGGTGGATGGTTTACAAAAGTGAAAAGGGTTAAATTTGCTCATGTACTTACTATTTGAAGGTAGCAACTTTGTCATACATCAAATATTTTCTAATTATGTTCTCGTCGTTAAGAAAAAAGTTTCATTTTTTGCTCTCGATCCCTAATGTAACTCCAACCCTTAATTTTAAAGGCCGAATAAGTTGACACGATTTTTCATTTAGACACCTAAACTCAAGGGTGTTCCTATTGAGCACTTATACTATCCGAAATTTATTTCAATTGAGCACTTTTTCGACAATCAGCCAAACTTACAAAGTTTGTGCAATGCACTCGCTGCTGACGTGGTGAATGACGAATTAAAAAAAGGACATATATTATTTTGAGTAAAAGAAAAGGAAAAAACCTAAAAACACTACTTAACTGAGCAGCTTCACTATATGTGGACCTACTTTCTTTTATGTTTTTTTTTTGAAATTGAAAAAAATTTCTTAAAATAGCGTCCTACTTTCTTTGATGCTCACTCATGAGGATAGTGGAAATAAGAAGAAGAGAAAAATTGTCGGAATTTTGCCAACACTGGCTATAATTTAAATACTTCGGAAAAACTGGATAGAACGTAAATAGCATAGAAATGGCGAGAGATAGCCACTTTTTAACATGGTATTTAGTTTTTATCCAGTATTTTTAATGCAGAGCAAAAATAGCCACTACTCTATTAAAATTAATATGAAAAGATATTTTTACCCTTTCTTTATGAGTGCTGTGTAAATATTAAGGACATGGTGTCCTTAATATTTACACTACACATGAAGTTAAGGACGTCATATCCTTAATATTTACAATACACATATGAAATTAAGGACATGATGTCCTAAAGTTTAACAACAAAAGGTGCAAATACAGGTCACTTTGTCCTTAATGTTTACACAACATTAATGAAGTTAAGGTCACCATATCCTTAATATTTATACAACACCCATGTCTAGCACATGGGTATTTTTGTCCGAGCGGGTAAAAATTTAATAAATACTGGCTAAAGATAAATATATTTTAAAAGAGTAAAGATATCTCTAATTAGTGGCTAACTGTGCACTTCCGCGAAATAGCACATGTAAAATAGGCTATCGGGTGCAATACCTCATTTAATAGTGAAGAGCCCATTGGGTTACATTCGCAAACGTTGTCCAATTCCACTGCCCAAGAAACAAATTTAGCTCTTCTTCTCCGCAGCTTTCATCAACTGAAACTATAATTGAAAATTCTACAGAAACCGCATTTTTTCTCATCTTTTGGGAGTTCTCAGATCATCACAGTCAATCATGTACAGAATCGCATCTTCTCGCCTCAGCTCTCTTAAGGTCACCCC